GTGACTTGTGAATTATTTATTTGGCTTCACTCACCCCTGTGAGAGGGTAGAACCAGTTCCCACCGCTCCCCACCTCCACCCTCGCAGTCCAGGCAGGCCCTGGCGGTGGAGCTGGCAGAGGTGGGGGCTTCTGCACAGCCGTCTGAGGTGGGTCGCAGCCCAGCTGCCAGGGGCGGAATTGGCAGCGAGTTGGAAAGGGTGGGATGGCGCGCGGGCGGGGCGGCGCTGCGGTTTGACCAGGTGCCCCGGGTGGTTCGGCTCATAGCTTGCTCCGCATCAGTGACACAGGCTGTCCCTTGCCTAGGTGGCCACGGGGCAGGTGGGTTCTGTGAGGCTCTGCCCCTGAGGGAGCTGGGGGGATTCTTCTGTCTCAGCCACACAGGACCTTGTGGCTCCAGCAGGTCCTGGGCACAGAACCTGCCATCCCGAGCGGGTCAGCTGAGCCTCGATCCCTGTGCTGAGGGCCGCTTTCAGCCATGTTGCTCCTCCCTGGCCTCTGCTGCAGGACAGAGCTCTGGCCTCTCTCTGGCATGGTGCGCAGTGATGCCCCTTTTGATACCACTGCAGAGCCTCATTCCCCTGGGCACGGCCACCTCTGCAGCCCTTCTAAGGGTCAGCAGGGATGCAGAGACCCAGCGTGGGGGCTGGATGACTTGCACCAAGAGGCCTTGTGTGATTTTCCGAGTCCTGGCTCCTGGCTGAGTGTTTCCTGGATGGCAGGAACTCAAGCAAGCAGCTGGCCTGGGGACAAAACAACAGTTGGGCCATCCCAGGGGAACTTCTAGGCCGAGGCCTCTTGCCCTCTGGCTGGCTCCTAGAGGGGCTCAGCCGTCTGGGTGCTCGTGTGCACCTTGCTTCCCCAGCTGATGGGGAGGTGCACGGAGGGACCCCATGAGGGAGTGGTTATCCTCACTTCTCCAGGCCTTCCTGTAACCTGCAGAATTTCCCTCTTAGCCAGCAAATCTCCCGAGCAAGCAGTCTTTCTGTGGGTTGGGAATAGGATCCACTGTGCAGCAGTTAGAAAACCTTAGGAAAAAGCTTGAGATCCATTCTGCCCAGAGATCAGCCTAGAGGAATGCAGAGGGTAAACTCTCAATACCAGCGGCGTTTTGTGTGTTGGACTGTGTTTCAGTGTTTAAACCCGCAGAAGCTTCTCACCTGGAACTTTTTAAGAACGTGTGTAGTGAAAGCAAACAGGAAAACGAGGAGAACTCCGGCTGACAGGTTGGCAGGCCTGGCTTTGCGTAGTGGGCAGAGGTGGACGCCCAGCTGGGCCACCTCTTCCTGGCTGGCTTTGTGCCTCCCTCTGGGCTCTGTGTAGGCAGCAGAGAGGGTCCTGCAGCAGGAAACCGACTGGCAGCAAAGAAAAATGATGATACTAACAAGAACACCGATCGTGTGCGCTCCCTCTCAGCCAGGCACTATTCTTAGTATTTCAGTTACATCCACCCATTTCAGCTTCACCACAGCCCTGCAGAGCAGCGCTGGTAACTCCATTTTATACACAGGGAAGCCAGGGCACAGAGAGGTTAAGAAGTTAGCCCTCCACCGCACAGTTACTGAGGAGAGACCTTGCCAGGATGCAAGCTGGGCATTTGTCTCTAGAACCGGATACCTGGAGTGTGGCTCTTACTTTGAGTAGTCAGATTCCTCTCTGCAGATGAGGCCCAGGCAGGAGGTGAGTGATCCAGTGATATTCACTGGCTGCACGTGTTTGGGCTCTGAGGGCCATGTTGGGTCTCCTCGGCTTCCTGCTGGGATCCTTCCTGCAGGGTGGGGTAGGCCCTAGGGGTGGCTCAGGTTTAGATTCTGAATTTAGGTCTTCCTGCCTTGGAGCACTGTGCTAGAGAGCCCTTCCTTCTGATGAAGAGCGAAGCAGACGGCCCATGAGGTGGGGGCGGGGCGCCCAGGGGTGAGCCTGAGTGAGGGCAGCGGTGACACCTGTGAGTCCTCAGTGAGTCCCCTGCCAGCTGAGTCGCCAGCCTCCGCACCTTGGTTGGTGGGCCTCGCCCATCCCTGTTGACACATTAATCCCCCTGCGCGTAAGTGCTTTCGGCTTACATGATTACCAGCCGGTGTGCCGGGCTGGCATCCCGAGCGAGGGCTTGGTTTAACAGATCTTCAAGGGCCAGCTGCTGCGAGGGCGTGGGGGGGAGTGCCGCATGACACAGCCCAGAGAGTCGGGCAGCGCCTCCTTCTCTAGGGCTCTGCTCAGGACCCGCCCACCGCTCTGCCCAAAACCAGAGTCCTGGACCAAAGGGGGCTTCTGAATGCTCCCATGGGCTGGAGATGGAGGGAGAGCATGCAGGGGCTGGGATGTGAGAGCGGGTGGGTGGCTGGGGGACCTGCGCCCCCCTCTGCTCGAAGCTGCACCCCCTAAAGTTTCTGGCAGACACTGATACCCCAGAGGAGCCCCCAGATGCAGACCCAGAGGGGGTTAGTGGGGTACGAGCACAGCCAGAAGAATCTGAGCTACACCCTCCTTAGGAAAAGCTTGCTGAGCTCAAGGAGGAACTCTTTCAGAGAAGAGAAACAGAAAGCCACCTGCTCGACAGGATGAATAGGTGTGTGCTTCATCAGACAGGAAAGGGGGAAGGGTAGTTAGACAGGAGGTGACTGGTTTTTTTCTGGCTTCTTGGCGACCTGCCTGACCACCCCAGCGGTTGGGAGACCCCCTTATCTGGGAGGCCTCTGGGGCAGGTCTATGACCTGAGACCTCGCTGCCTTCTCCCAGCCTCCCGTATCGCCCTCCAGACCAAAGGCCGGTTGAGGTCTTTCCTTTCCCTCTTCACTTTTTCCTTATTTACTGTTCCCTCAGTTGCTTCAGTCCACACGTCCTGCCCTGCCTGAGACCCAGCTGTGACTTCCTTCTGCCCCTAATGTCAAGCCCAGTCTTCACACCTGGTTCCCAGGCCACTCTTGGACCTGGTCCCACCGTCCCTGGATACAGTGCCAGCCAGTCCCCTCTCTGAGCCGGGCTGTGGCTGGCCTCCCTTCTGCACAGCCTCTGCCTGTCCACCCTGCAGCTTTCCACCTTTCAGGATGCCACAGACCCATGCCAGACACCTGCTAGGAGTCCAGCATCAGACATGGTCTAGTTTTAAAAACTCATTTTGCCATGGAGTTACCATAGTACCCAGGAGTTCCTCTCTTAGGTACAGACCTTAGAGATGGGAAAACCTTTGTCCACACAAAAACTTGTGCATGCAAATTTATAGCAACATTATTTGTAATTCTCAGATGAAATTAGAGACAAACCAAATATCCAGGAATAGGTGGATGGGTAAATAACAGGAGGCATATCCAATTCATAGTAGACAAGATCTAGAATGAGCCTAGGTACTCACCAAAGGATGAATGGGTAAAGAAAATACAGTGTAGGGCTAGGGATTTAGCTCAGTGGTTCCGCTGCCTGCCTCGCAAATGAGAGGTACCGAGTTCAATCCCCTGTACCAAAAAAAAAAAAAAATATGGTGCATATACATGGTGGAATATTACTCAGCTATAAAGAAGAGCAAAATCATGTCATTTGCAGGAAAAAAATGGATGGAACTAGAACTCATGTTAAGTGAAATAAGCCCAACTCAGAAAGACAAGCATCATATATTTTCCTGAATGTGTGGTATTTAAAAAAGAAAGGATAGTAGGAAAGTAGAAGGCAGACTATTGGACAAAAGGGAGGGGAGGGATTTGTAAGGAAGAGTAGTGGGCGGGTGGATATGAATGCAATATGTTCTGTGAGAGAGAGTGTGTGTGTGTGTATGAAAATGCCACATTGAAACCTAGTACTTGGTTAATAGGCACTAATAAAAATACTTTAGAAAATATATAAGGTAAACAAAATGGCACATCCATACAGTACAGTGTCCTTCAGCCAGTATGCTGAGTGGGCAAAAGCCAGCATGGAGAGGCCGCGGGGTATTTCTGTCCCCAGAATATCCCGACCAGGGGAAGGGTAGCTGCAGGGAGCTTGTGAGGACCTGCCTGGGAGCTGCTGGAGGGTACAGGCTTTGTTCCCGAGGTGACAGAAAAGCTCTGAAATTAGTTCATCATGATGATGTCACAGTTCAGGAGATGCTAAAACAAACAAACTTGAGTCGTGTACGTACTTTGTGATCTACAAATATTAAATATCAGGGCTTAAAATCTTTAAAACCCACTTCTCTTAGGAATTTACTCATTCAGCAGATGCCTCCTGAGCCGGGCCCTGTGTGCACGGTGATTATGCCTGATCTCATACGGCTGGCTCTGGAGGGGACGTTAGATGTTGAAATAAAGGAAGCAAAGTGGGTAGGAAAGATGAAATCGGGGTCCTTGTGAGGTACGCAGGGAAGACCTCTCTGGAGGTGACACTGGAGCTGGCTCCTCCGTGACAGCAGAGAGCCAGACACAGAGCATGGGGGCAGGTGTCTAGGCAGACAGACTGCAGCTCAGCTGAGGCCTCAGGTGGCTTCCGGTGTGCCCTGCCTCTCACCGAGTCCTGGGGTCATCTTCGTGCACAGCCAGAGTACAGCATAGTCCTGCCTTGGCCCGGGGTCTCCCCAAAAGAGACCCGTCTGGACCCCCAGACTTGACGTGGGCCCTGGAAGAGCTGAGGGCTGCCCAGTTACCCCCTCTCCCCAGCGCTGCCTCTTCCCCGTCCGTCTGAACTCAGACCCAACGGCTAACCTGTCCTGGCTCCTGGGGTGCCCCGTGTCCCGGTTTCTTGTCCCAGAACCCCATGCTGTCTCACTCAGGGGCTGCCTGCCTCCTTTAGGGTGGATAGGGGTTGGGGCCACCTGAGTGCTGTTCCCTCTCCTTTGCCCTGGTCCTTCAAGATGGTCCTGCTGGGCATGGCAGGGGGAAAGATGTCTCGGGTACCCTGCTGCGTGGAGAGCTCCTGAGCAGGTGTCAGTGCCCCAGACCCTGGGTCCACCCTGGGTGGGTGTTTCCCCGCCCTGGGGGTGGAGGCAGGAGGGGCCAGTGGCATCTCGTCCCTCAGGCTCTCGCTCTGCCCGGCACCATGCGGTCCTCCTCCTTTCACCGAGCCAGGAGAGCAGGTGCCCGAGGCAGGGCCAGGTCAAGGTGACCACGTGTCGTCTGGGCAGGGCAGAGCACGGGGCTGAGAGGGGTCAGCGATATGTCAAGGGCATGGCAGATGTGGCAGGCGGGTGACTCCAGCAGAGCCAGGGGCTGGGTGGGGGCGGAGCGCCCACCTGCACCCTCCGCCATTCGCCTTCTGTGTGGGGCCATTACCATGTGACTTGGTCCTCTCCCAGGGCCCCTGACAGGGTTTCCTCTAACAGGCCCAGGTTAACCCAGGGTGGGCAGGAGATGGTGCCCCTCCTGGCTCACAGACCAGCCTCTCAGGGTTGCCGCAGAGATGTTGAGGTAGTATCCAGGGGCCCTAGCACTGGCCTCTGCACTCTTTCCGTTGGGCGTACTGTTCTGTGTCCAGCCCTGCTCTTTTGGGGGAGCCCAGGGCCAGCAAAGAGGGCCGAGCATAAGGGTGGAGGACTGCTCAGTAGCTTAGGGAGGCCGAGCTTGCCGTCCCATTTTATGACAGAGAAAACTGGAGCTCAGAGGGGCTGAGTGTAAGCAGCTTGCCCCAAGCCACACCACAGGAAGTGGTGGACACGGCTTAGAAGCCAGTCTTCCAGTCACAAATCCCATTACCTCCTTGATGCCACACTCCTGACAGTAATATTTCCATAACTTCTAATTATCCACATTCCTGGAAGAGACCGTTAACCACACCGTTTAAAACAGGCAACCATTGTATCCCAGCCTGGCTGGGAGATATATCTGGAGCTTCTTTTTTCTTGGCAACAACATCTCACTCTAAAGAAATTTCTTCAGGATGATTTTTGGAATGCCCAGGCACCGCCCCTGCAGATCCAAAGGAAAAAGACTTCCTGTGGTATAAATGTCCCCATCCGCTGAGGACAGGGCTCCCCAGTCCTGGCTCTCAAGAGCCCAGGTCCAGGATGGGTGCAGCCCCAGCAGCAGGCTCAAGTCAATCACAGCTGGCGGCAGTGTGGCTTAGCAAGAGGCAGGAGGCATGGGGAGGGAATTCCCTACAGCTGGCTCTGCCTGTGAAGGGCCTGGGACCGAAACAGTTCCCTGTGGGCATCAGCTTTTCTCAAGAATGACAGGGGTAAAAAGGTGCACATGAGTAGAGGCCAGGGCAGGGCAGGGCAGCCTGAGGTGGGCACCTGGGCCCCTTTCCATCTCCTGAGCCTCCTGCTGTTCCACCCTGCACTCTTCCTGTTCTGCCAGGGCCGCTCCCGGCAGATAATCTAGCAGCAAGACTCCCACATCAGCCTCCTGCCAGGCCTGGTCCCTTTGCCTGGCCACCCCATGTGCGGTGGCAGGAGGGGTGCCTCCTCCAGCCCTATCCCCTGTCACTAGCACTGTCTGGGAGCCGGGATTGGGCACCTGCTCAGGGCCACACACAATGCCAGTGAGGAGGCCGGCAGTGGAGCCAGCCGAGACAGCCCCACGTGTTCTGAGCTGTGAGGTGACTGCTGATCTCTGCTGCCTCCTAGTCCTGCCGCTCAGGGCCCTGCAGCCTCTGGCTGATGCTATCCACCAGCGCTGGCCGAGCAGTCGAAGACCCGGCTGGGATCCAGGTCTGTCAGCTACTTTCTCAGCCCAGCCTAGGTGGGGTTTGCTCTTGAGTAAAATGGGCACAAAGTCTACTTCACAGCACTGTCGTGTTTGACAAATGCCCAAGACATGACAAGCGGTGGTGCTTCCTCCTGCGAACTGTGTTGCTCCTTCTTGTCCATCCCTTCCTTTCCCGCAGCTCCTCACCGTTCCTTCCCAGCTCAGTTCACTGACCCAGGTCCTTTGCTGCTTGACTCACTGCTGTTTTTGTCTACCTTCCCCCAGGATTTCCTTGTCTCTTTAGGGTTCTGGGGGTGAGACCGAGGACTCAAGCAGACTAAATAAGAGCTCTCCCACTGAGCTTCCTCCCAGCCCTCGCCTGGGTTTCCCCTGGCCACGAAGAGTGTGTTAATTCTTCTGTGGGGTGTGTCTGCCACGGCGGGGCTGAGGTGTAGGAATGGCGGGTCCTGGCTCCTAGGGTCAGTGGGGAGGGAGTCCCCAGGGCTGCTGTCCCTGGAGCTGGACCACCTTGTGCAGGGAGCGGGAGACAGGGAATTGTTACAGAGCCTGCTGTTACGTCAGCACCCTGGCTGCATGGCTGTCCGCTCTCTCCTGGGTGTGGAGGAGGCGATCGGCAGTGTGGTCTGGGGTTCGGGCTTCGGAGCTCAGAGCGGGGGCACCAGGGACAGTGAGGAGTCCACAGGGACCTGCACAGGCCTCCTCCACGTCACGGCCTCCGGCCCTCAGCTTCCTCCGACCCAGGTCTCTAAGCAGCCCCCTCCCCTTCACTAACCGTAATCTCCCCAACAGATCAGCCTGGAAACAGAAAAGAGAAAATGAGAAAATAACGAACTGCTGCTATCTGCAGAGTTCTCTGATAAAGGATTTAATCAGATGTGGGGCAGATGGGAGAGAGGGCGGAGGGAAGGGGTCCGTGGGTGCTGCCCCACCTCACCGTCCGGTGTTCACAGTCCGAGAAAGTTCCTCCAGAACCTTGGAGCTCGGGCTCCTTCACACCCCACCCGTCCCAACGTTAGCCTTTCAGGCTGCCCAGAGTCTGAAAGTCTTCCTTTCTTCCTTCCTCTTCTTCATTTTTTTAATTTCTGAAGCTAGGGTGTAGAACCTGGGTCCTCACTCAGACTATGCAAGGGCTCTGCCACTGAGCTCCATCTTCGACCCAGAAAATACGAGTCTGCAATCCATGAATGGGGCAGAAGGTCCCCAGAAGACTCGAGGAGCCTCAGCCACAGCCTCGGGGGAACCCAGCCTGCAGCCTGCTGTGCTCTGGCACTGTCAGGAAGGAAAGGCCCAGCCGGCACGGGCTGACCTCGAGAGTCACTCGCCAGGCACAGTGCCCGCCCCTGACCTCTGCCCGCCGGTGGTTCTGGTGGAGCTGGCCTTGCCTGTTCCTGTGGGGGACACACAGTGGCACACCTCACCCTCGGGCAAGAGGAGGCTCAGCTGAGGACCCTGGGCTCAGTTCCAGCCTGGGTCCCCTCTGCTTGTCCTGGAGATGCCCCCGTAGAACTGTTTACGTGTAAACATTGGGGTTTGCCGTGACCACGGCTGCCAGGTGACTGACACCTGTGGTACACAGGGAGGTACGGGACGGTCCCAAAGAGTGGTTCGGCCCTGAGAGGACCTGTTCGCAGCAGGACACTGAATGAAATAATAGCAGTTAAGCATTGTGAAATGCGTAGGTCCGTAGATTCCCCACCAAAACCATCTCTGACCCTTTTTCTTTCTTTTTTTTGCGGGGGGGTCGCAGTACTGGGGATTGAACCCAGGGCCTTTGCTCTGAACTAGATCCCCAGTCCTCTTTTATGTTTTGGATTTTGAGATAGGGTCTCACTAGGTCACTTAAGTGCCCAGACTGGGTGAGAACCTGCAATCATCCCGTCTCAGCCTCCCAGAGCGCTGGGATTTACAGGCCTGTACCGTCCGTCCTGCCTGGTTCCAGGGTCTCACTGCCGGATTGTTCTCTGAGGACACAGGCGTGTTCAGCAACTTGCCCACAACCCACAGCTAATGAGGGCTGCGGGTTCCCTCAGCTCCCTTCCCTTCCTCCCAGCGGGTGGGTACGTGTCTGGCCAGGGGAGAGCAAGAAGCGGGTGTCGGGAGGCTCGGGCCCTTCTGCTGATGTCACCCTCCCTGTTCCAGCCTGGCCCAGTCGCTATGGGCCCTCTTCACCTCCACGCTAGCCATCTCCCTGGTGTTTGCCGTCATCCCCTTCTGCCGAGACGTGAAGGTGCTGGCCTTGGTCATGGCACTGGCGGGGCTGGCCATGGGCTGCATCGACACGGTGGCCAACATGCAGCTGGTGAGGATATACCAGAAGGACTCGGCCATCTTCCTCCAGGTGAGTGGCTCCCAGCAGCCCACCCCTCCCTCCCAGCCCGCCAGGAGCCTCTCTCTGGCCACAGCGGTGCCTCCGCCCCGCTTGGCCACTGCCAGGCCACTGAGGCGGTCCCTCAGGATGCTGGGCTTGGGTTGTGCCCTCTGGATCCTGCCCACAGAGCCCAGCGCTGAGGAGAGAAAATTGTGAGGAAGCCCCTGCTGGTGGGGCATCAGCTGCCGGGGGTTGAGGTTGACGGCTTGGCCACTGTCATCCACACATGCAGGCCTGGAGGGAGGGCCTGGGCTTCTCCTCACACTCCCTCGCCTTTCCTGCTTCCTCAGCCCTCTTCACCCCCTCTGGACCAGCCAGGGGATCCCTGCTGGGGCATGAGGCGGGGTCAGAGGAGAGGTGACTCCCTCAGGGTGGGGATCTGTCTAGGCCACACTGCCTTAGCCGGACGACTGAGCCAGACCCCCACCCTCCCACAGGTGCTTCATTTCTTTGTGGGCTTTGGCGCTCTGCTGAGCCCCCTGATCGCTGACCCCTTCCTGTCTGAGGCCAGCTGCTTTCCTGCCAACAGCACAGGCAACGCCTCCTCTAGAAGCCACTTGTTCCACGCTGCCCGGGTCCTAGGCCAGCACCATGCAGGAGTCCAGCTTCAGCCCAACCAGACCTTCCCGGGATCGGCCCCAAAGGGTGGGGCTGAGACCCATGTGTCCTACGCCTTCTGGATCATGGCCCTCATCAATGTGAGTGTTGCTGGGGCAGGCTGGGCAGGGAGCTAGTGGACCGTCCACACCTCCTAGGCCACCCACCTCCCAAAGCAGGTTCTTCAGGTTCTGAGACTTGAGGCTGGGAGGCTGGAGGTGGGAGAACCCGGTCCTGGGGGTCATCGGTGAGGCCCCGCCCCTCCACAGTGACTTCTGTGATTGTGGCTCTCCAGGAAGCAGGCAATGAGCAGTTTAGCTTAGTTGCCAGCTGTCTGAGGCTCGGGGGGACACCATTTCTTTCCCTCCACTGCTGGACTCTGGTATCTATCCGTAATCTTCCCGTGCAACCCAAGAGCGAGCGTTTCCCTGGGTTAGCCGGGGCTGGTGTGGTGAGCCTTTTCAGGGACCCCCCACCCCTATCCACAGGCCTCCATTGTTTTGGGACAGTGCCACTTTGGGGCCTGTGTTTCCAAAGGGGGACCTGGGAAGGGAAGGGCACTGTCCCTGAAGCATCAAGGCTGGACTTTTGCCACCAGGAAGCCAGGGGGCTCCGCGGAAGCCCAGGGCCTGTGCTTTCTTGCCCCATGACGAGTCACAGACTGAGGGACCTTGCAGCAGGATTTCCGGACTTCTCCCACTGGTCTGTATCTGAGGATAAACAGTCCACTGCAGGGGAGAATCCGGCCACACCTGCACACGGGCGTGCTCATGCTCACCCCCACACACACACACACACACTGCCTGGAGATAACAGGTTTTCAAGGTGCCACTGCTGTCCCCAGTGAGATTCTCATAGAGGGGGGCAGTACCTGCCAGCCGTGCCCGCCAATCCTCTGTGAAGTGTTCCCCATTACCCAGGTGATGGGGCCTCACTTACAGCTGTTTCCCCTTGGCCTTCACCCAGGCATTCAACCACTGTGGCCTGGGGGTTCCTGCCCACCCCCGGCAGACTGCAGGAAGGGCTGTGTCTGCCCCCTTGGCCCGGGCTCCATGCGGAGCCCATTTATGGCTTTACAGCTGCCAAGGGCTCAATGACCTGGACTCATTCTTGAATGTGCAGAAAAGCTCTCCAGTTCACCCAGGAGGCATCAACCAGGGGTGGGGCACATTTTGTCTTCTGGCCTGGTGTAGTTGTGCCCGCCTCAGAGAGGGTGAGGGGCTCTCCCAGGGCACCACCAGGCTGGGGCTGGCAGCCTGCTCGCCTCCCCTCTGCCCTGGCCCATTGATTGGCCCTGCTCATCCACCTCCTGGAACCTTCTGCAGCTCCCCAGGCCTCCTGCATACTCAGCAAAGTGCCGGAGGTTGAGGCCGAAGCAGGACGTGCAGCAGTTAGACCTGATAAAGAACTTCCTGGCAGCAAGTGAGGTTAGGCCCAGGCAGTGGCACCTGAGGGAGGTGGTGCTGGCTTCTCCAGGCAACCGCAGAGCAAGAGACGATGCCCATTGCTCTGGGGAGCTCAGGGAAGACCAAGTGGCTTAGTGAACAGGGTAGGGAGTCACACTCTGACTGCAGGCACAGTGCTTGTAAACTCTCATTTGTCCATTGAAGTGGGTCTCTGCTGGTGTCTTCCAGTATGGACACCTGCCTAGTACCTGACACTACCAGGCCCCCCTGAGTTGGAGACAGTGCAGGTGGAATTAGGATGCCAACTTCCAGACTAACTCTGCCCAAACCAGCTACATGGGGAGGGCTGTTTTGCTTCCTGGTTCTCTGGCCAACCTTCCGGTTTGAGCAGGACATGACCAAGGGATCACTTTGAGCCTCAGCTGCTGCATCTGGAAAATGGTGCTCAGGATCCTGCCTGGATGCTCCACAGAGCTGTGACGGGCAGGGGCTATGTTGCTCTGCTCAGCGTGGTATGATCCACAGCACACAGGCACAGGAGGTGGCAGGCTGTGGCCCTGCGCAGAGCAGGACGTTGCAAACCAGTTACCCTGGCACCTCTCTGGGCCAAGTGAGTCGGATTTTGAAAGACTGTCTTTTGAGGGCAACCGGTGTGCCCCAGCCCAAGGACTGGCTGGGCGCACCCTGGGAAAGAGCATCTTCTCCCAGGACCCTGAAGAGCCAGCGTGCGTGTACAGCACTCGGAGGGGTGGGGAAGGGGACGGCAGGGCTGCCTTGACCCTTTACCATCCTGCAGCTTCCAGTGCCCATGGCCGTGCTGTTTCTGCTCTCCAAGGAGCGGCTGCTGACCTGCTATGCTCAGCGCAAGCCCCTCCTGCTGCCTGCGGATGAGCTCGCGCTGGAGACCCGGCCCCCTGAGAAGGAAGAAGACTCACTGTCCTCGAAGTTCCAGCCATATCCAGGTGGGGGCGCCAGCGAGCATCTTCACTCAGCCTGGCCTGGAGGCTTCCATGGCTACCCTGCCCCAGGAAGGTGACCCCAGATCTCAGGGTATAAGGGCTAGAAACACTTTGGCCCCGTGTCCTGGAGAAGCAGCAGAGGAAAGGCCTGACCAAGGGAATGTGGAAGGCGAACACCTGGCTTCGACCTCCATACCACCCAACCCTGCCTGTGCGACCCTGGGCAAGTCGCTTGGTCTCTGGTTCCATCAGGCCTGGAGGCAGACAGAGGCTGCTCCTAACAGGTAGCCGAAAGCTACAGAAGAGAGGCAGTAATGGCCCACGCTGCCGGGCATTTCTGACCCCTGCCACTTCCCTGGGGGATCCAAGGGGGGCTCACCCTGCCCTTCCTCCCCCAGGGCCTGAGGACCTCTTCAGCTGCTGCCAGAGGAAGAACTTCCGGGGAGCCCCTTGTTCCTTCTTCGCCATCCACATCACGGCGGCCCTGGTCCTGTTCATGACGGACGGGATGACGGTGAGCCTGGGAGCGGCAGCCCTTGTTCAGTTCCGTGGCCACAGTGTCCAGTCCTCTCAGAGCTGCTCGGGGCCCACCAGTGGGCTGTCCCTGCTGGTGTTTTGTTCTCTTAGGTCTCCTTAGAGGTCTGTCTGCTTTTCACTGACCACAGACCCCAGGTCTTACAGGGGCAGAGCCCTGTTCCCCTCACTACGGTGGACACCAGGGCACTTGGCCCCCGGCACCCGTGCGGGTCGGATGCCAACCGTGACCTCCGTCATGTGGGTTAGCGCCTCTCCCTGGAAATCTAGGACAGGTCAGGGCAGGTCAGGGGATCGAACTCGGGTCCTTCAGCTTGTGAGGCAGGCGGCGGAACCACTGAGCTATAACCCTGGCCCAGGGCATCTTGAGTGACCAGCTGCTTGCTAGCAGAGCGACCCTCCAGAGAGAAGCCCTAAAGACCTAGGAGAGTACTTGAGGTGGGCCTGGTTGGCTTCTCCCTCAGGGCGACCTTGGGAGTCAGTGCCCTGCCTGCTCACCTGCACAAGGAGATGCTCGTGCATATGTTTTTCAAAGCTGAGGGACAGCACATGTCTGACAGTCCCCACGGGGACCCAGTGATGTGGTGGGTGAAGGCTGTAAGCGGCAGCACCTGGATTCTGTCCCAGCGTGGGCCCGAATTTGCAGCAGGGTCTGGGGACAGAGCCACCCGTTCCTCCTCAGCCTCTGAGCACAGTGTGCTCAGGCCTGGTCTCCCCACAGGGGGCGTACTCCGCCTTTGTGTACAGCTATGCTGTGGAGAAGCCGCTGTCTGTGGGCCACAAGGTGGCCGGGTACCTCCCCAGCCTCTTCTGGGGCTTCGTCACGCTGGGCCGGCTCATCTCCATCGCCGTCTCCTCGAGGATGAGGCCAGCCACCATGGTCTTCGTCAACCTGGTGAGTCGCCGGGGCCTCTGTACCCTTCCGAGCCACCCAGAATGCATCCTCTTCTGGCCCCCGCTGCCACCACGCAGGACGTGTGCTTGGGGCTGGCCTCTGGTGCTGATGTGGAGGAACGTAGAGGGGTGGACGGAGGAGAGCGACTGGGAGGTGGAGCCTGCCTGTGGGACCTGTGCCTTCCCCTCTCTGGGCCCTGACTTTGTACGCCTACAAGCACGAGTACCGGGGAGCAGACTCCGGCTGACAACCACTGGGACGCAGGAAAGGGTGCTGGTCGTGCTGCCTGTATTACCGTGGCGCCCAGCTGGTCCAAGCCCAGCGGTGGCTGAGATCTCCCAGCCTTCAGCATCGGTGCCACTGGGCTGAGGCTGGAATTTGCTTTCTGGGTGACTCGCATGGCTTCAAGGACCAGGAGTCGCCCTCGGGTTGTGGTCCTGTCCTGATGTAAATCCGCGTCACCTCCTGTAACAGGTTCAGAGTACAGATTCCCACAGGGTCACCAGGCCCAGCCCACTGAGACCTGATGTACCGCTGTCACGTCCTGTCCCGGGCCTCGGGCTCTGCCCAGACGCCTCCAGTGACCGGGAGGGAGCTCACTGCTCTTCCAGGTGGTCCCATCCTCCGTAAAAACGTCCTTACTCACTGGGGCTTCTCAAGAGAAGGGGTGTGGCCAGAATGTTGGAGACGCAGAGGCAAAGACCATGAGCTGGCAGAGATCTTAGACTTGGCCTGTGCTGGTTGATGATCTGCAGGGAAGAAATTTCAGTACATAGAGGGGAGTGGGTAGGAGCGACACCCCAAGGCTTGGGTCAGAGGGGATGGGGCGTGAGGCCGCTTATGGACTCTGCTCTGCAGATCCTCCTGAGACGGAGGGAGTTGCACGGCAGGACTCGGACTTGTTGTGGAGGAGGAAGGGCAGAAGGCTGAGGAGAGGACTCTGGGAAATGTCAAGGGTGGAGAAGAGCTGAGCCAGGAAGGCCCTGGGAGGTGGGGGCCGAGCTCAGGGAAGAGAGAGTCAGACTCCAGAAGTCTCCATGGGGCAGCCAAGGAAGGGGTCAGGCACTGACAGTGCCCACCCATGGCATCCTCTTCAAGGGAGGACATGAGACCTGTTGCTAAGGGAGAAATCAGGGAAAGGGGGCCCGGGCTTTAGAGAATGTACAAGGTGTGAGGGTCTATGTGGTAGGCACTGCCCATGAACGCCCACCTGGAGCAGGGCACAGTGGCACTCCAGAGGCTGAGGCAGGAGAATTTCAAGTTTGAGGTCAGCCTAGGGTGAGAATCTGTCTCAAAACAACAGCAAATCAGGCTGGGGATTTAGCTCAGTGGTTCTACCGCCTGCCTCACAAGCACAAGGTCCGGAGTTCAATCCTGGTACCAAAAAAAAAAAAAAAGAAAAAAAATCAAACTAAACAAACAGCCTACTTGGGGTGCTGGTTTTTAAAAAGTCAGTCAGACTGGGCATGGTGACACACGCCTGTAATCCCAGCACTCAGGAGGCTGAGGCAGGAGGATTGATTGCTGTGAGTTCGAGACCAGCCTGGGCTACAGAGTGAGTTCCTGGTTAGTCTCAACTACGTAGTGAGACCCTGTCTCAAAAATCCAAAAAAAAAAAAAAAAAACGGCAGTCAGATTCCTGGGCCCAGGGCAGACAGTTGAATCAGAACATCCAGGGGCGGCCTGGCCATTTCTAGATTTAACCAACACCCTGGATTCACATCGTGGGCAAGTGCGGGCCAGCACTGTCCTAGAGTGAACGGTGGCGTTTTGCGGCAAGGCTCCCTCTGCGGCAGCTGTGAGGAAACAGTGTCCTGGCCCCTGCAGCCGCTCCCAAGTCGGTCACCCTGTCCTGGCTGTCTCGGGCTGAACGGCCATTTCTGACTCAGTGCCACACCCCGTGTGAGGCCGCGTGGGAACGGCCAGGATTCTGAGGCCAGGACCCAGCCTCCAGGGGGCAGCAGCCTGCCAGGTGAGGTAGTAGGGGTCACTGGCTGTGGCTAGGGCCACAGGTGAGGGAGGAGAGTCCTCGACAGACAGTCTTCTGTCACCGAGGCCGAGGTGAGGGAGGTGGTTTATTTCAAACTTCCCCAAATCTACAGATTTTCAGAATGACTGCCTTGCAGACTTGCCTGACAGTGCCTGTGGTTTGTGTGAGATGAAATCAAAATACACAGTGAATGTTTAAATAAAAATAAACTATTACAGTAAAAGACACATCGCCATTAGTCTCCCTCAGAACACTCTCCAACTTGGAGCACCCTTACCCACTCTTCTTGCTACTTTTATTTTACTTTTAAGAGCTGGTGTCTCACAATGTATTATAATGCCTTGAACTCACCATGCAGCGCAGGTTGGCCTTGAACTCTCGAGAGATCCTCCTTCCCCAGCCTCCTGAGTGCTGGGATTGCGGGCTCGGTCTTTCCACTCTCTGAAGCGGTTCTGGAAATCCTCTTTCATGAGTGTCTTTATGAGGTGTGATCAGAAATAGGGTGAATGCTGCTGCCGAGTGCCGTCCAGTGGAAGGCGGGGCCCATGAAAGCATGACAGTGAGCCCTCATCGCCTTACTCACCAGGTCTGGCATCGTGTGACTTCCGACTCTTCTCCAAAGTCACAATGACCACGAAAGGTGAACATTTTGAATCCATTCGGAACATTGAGGCCGCCGTGCTGGCACAACTAGAGACCTTCAGGAAAGAGGGCTCCCAGAACTGCTCCAGATAGCTTCAAGGTCAAAAGGACCCGTGTGTCTGAGGACAGAGGGGCTATTGTGAGGGGGGTAATGGCAGTGCATCTTTCATTGCAAATTTTAAAAATTTTTTAAATTAAACATTGACCGTATCCTCCGGTCGCGTCACGCACGGGGGTGGCCATGTTGGGGGAGGTACAATCACAGCCGTGCCTGAGCTGTGCAGGCTCATTACAGAAGGCACGAGCCGGGTGACACGCAGAGGACCCTGCCGGGGAAGGGCCTGGGCAGGGGCAGTGGACACGGCGGGGACGAGGGGCAGGAGATGAGCCTGGGAGGTGGGCCGTGGCTACACCTGTGCGCCTCTGCAGTCCGGGTCTGGGTGCGCACTAAGTGGGCGGGAATCTGACAGACGTGATTTTCACTGCATTTCCACCCGCCCTGTGACCCCTGGGAGTCCACTGTCAGCTCCAGGACGTGTCTGCTGTGTGGTCCAGGGCTGACAGGGAGGGTGCCGGGCGGAGGGGTGAGGCGGATGGGACGCTCCTGAGCATAGGAGGAAGGGGACGAGGAGGCAAGGACTCCCTTGGCGTCGGGCCTGAGCGCAGAGGAACAGAGGTGTACTTACCGCCGGGCTTCCCGTCCCTGTGATGAAATACCCGAGGTCACTGTAAAGAGGAAGGGGTTATTTCGGTCACGCTTTGGCAGCTCCGGTCCATGAGGCGGTGGATACCCGGCCCTGGGCCTGTAGTGGGCGAACAGGTGGGGATGGCAGGATGTGCAGCAGGTGAGTGGGCGGGAGCAGAGAGAGGGGCAAGGGCCAAGGTCCCACCATGCCCTGCAAGGCCACCACCTCCCAGTTGCACCACCCTGGGGACCGCGCCTTTACGCGTGGGCCTTTCACAATCTAGATGGGAACAAGGACGCTATTTGGTTTCTTCTTTATCTGAAAGCCAAGGTTTCACTGGCTCGTTTATTGCAGAGTATTTGCTCCTCAATGCCACCTCGACCCGATTCTCCACCAGGGTCCTTAGCGACCACGGAGCTGCGGCCAGCCCTGTGCCCTGCTGCTCCCTCTCGCTCCACCTCACACAGCCTGGCCGGTCCAGTTTCTCCCTGCCTCAGCATTCAGGCCACGGTGGTGCTGGACACAGCCGAATGCCTGTGCACAGCGGGGTGTGGCCCTCGTCTGAGCCTCACAGCCCCTGGAGCCCAGCCGCCCACCCTGTCCTCCCCGCCCTCCCGTGTGGCAGTGGCAGTGGGTCAGACTCCAGCGAAGGAGCAGGCTGGTGGAGGAAGCTGAAAGTTTGGTTTGAGCCAGCCCGTTAGCCTCCCAGTGACTTCTGCAGCAGAGAGGCTGTTTTCTGTGCAAGTCCGGAGCTCTGGACACAGGTCCTGGCTGGGGGATGAGAGATTTGAAACCAAGGAGCTGGACTACAGGGAAACAGAGATGGAGAAGGACTGGAATAGCCCCGATAGTAGGAGACTGAGCAGAGAGGGAAGGAGGAGCAACAGTTTAATACACTGCATTTAGGACCGCAGGGGTGGCTGCTGCTCCTGCGGTTTTGGGCGGTGAGGGAATGTGCTTCCGGCTCAGGAGAGAGCTCTGTTCACGGAGAAGCCTGAGTCTGGTGTGGCGCTATGACAGCTGGGGGCGCTGGGGGGCAGCACAGGCTCCTGGATCGCCGGACGCTGCTCTCACAGTTGGAGAGCAGCCCAGGGGGTACTGTGACTCTGAGGGTCTCTTCCTTTCTGCCTGGACAGCTCCTCATCTGTGAAGCAGAAGGAATAGGGGTTGGACTAGATGAGATTTTTGTGCAGACTTTCTAGGTCTTTCTAGGTCCTGTATTCTTAATTTTTCCTAGAAACAGATGTCCTCACCCAGGGAATTGTATTTTGTGGTTTGGGATCCAACTCAGGGCCTGGCACATGCTAGGCAAGTGCTTTACTACTGAGCCGAAGTCCCAGCCTTGACCCACAGATATTTCCCCTCATTGTTATGGGTTGGAGCCACCCATGGTGGCTCACACCTGTACTCCCTGCTACTTGGGAGGCTGAGGCAGGAAGATACAAGTTTGAGGGAGGAATGCACAATTTAATGAGATACTTACTCAAAACTCTTTTAAAGGGCTGGGGATGAACCAGGCGTGGTGGTGCACACCTGTAATCCCAGCATTCAGGATGCTGAGGCAGGAGGGTCGCTGTGAGTTCAAGGCCAGTCTGAACTACAGAGTGAGACCCTGTCTCAAAAAGAGGGTGGGGTGGGGATGTAGCTCGGTGGCTGAGCAGCCCTGGATTTGATCCCTAGTACCAGAAAAGAATCCCACACGTAAACGCTAGGAGTAACACTTGTCCAAAGCCTCACACATGGCAGCTTTTTGTGTGTGTTATTTCACCACCAGCCTCCAGGTTAGCTTTTGTAACTGTTCTCCTCTGCACATCGGGAAGCTGAGAATCAGATCGGCTATACCAGGCTCCCACAGCTACAACCGGCACTGGGCTGCAGACCCAGGTCTTGTGCTACCTGGCTTTCTTCCCCCACATGCATTTGGCATAGAAATTACACGGTGGTGACATAAAAACATTTGTAGGAGCCGGAGTATTGCTCAGTGGTAGAGCACTTGCCTGGGATGTGTGGGACTCGGTTCAATCCCAGCACCAGAAAAAAAGTTTTTAAAGTGCTTAGAAACAAGTTTGTTTTTATATATATTTTTTGTTTTGTTTTGTTTTGTCTTGCGATACTGGGAATCAAACTCAGGACCTTGTGCTTGCAAGGCAGGCGCAGTGGAAACAAGATTATTTTAATAAAAATATGTTTGTGCCCAGAGGCCCTCGCTGCACTAGGAAGATTTCTGGGTCCCGCAGCCGTGGCAGGAGTCGCCGACCACCAGTCAGCCTGTGTCTGACCCTAAGAGGCCGGCTGTGTTGCTAGAGGGTGAGGACCCGGTGACCGGCACCCTCTCCTGGCCACCCTGGTTATTCTCTTGGCCCCAGAAGTCTTTGATGGATTCTGCCTCTGTGGTTAGGTCAAATACCTTGGCGTACGTTTAGCGAGTGTGTGGCAGGCGGTTTGCGTACAAACCCAAGTGGGCCCGCGTTCTTCTATTCATCAGGGCCGGGAATGCGGCGGTTCCCGGGTAGACCACGAGGTGGCGCAGCGGCCGCACGGCCCTGCTCCCTGTGTCCTCTATGAGCGCCCCGGGGCTGCCCGCTTTCTAATCCCCTGCGCTTCTGCCTGCAGGTGGGCGTGGTGGTGACATTCCTGGTGCTGCTTATTTTTTCCCACAATGTCATCTTCCTGTTCTCGGGGACGGCTAGTCTGGGCCTGTTCCTCAGCAGCACCTTCCCCAGCGTGCTGGCTTACACCGAGGACCTCCTGCAGTACAAAGGTGAGACGAAAGTCACTGCTGGGCGGCAGCAGGCTCCCCGCGGGCCCCCGCGGCTCCTCCGGTCACCGTTATGTCCGAGTCTGTGACTTCGGGAGCGGAGAGGCAGCGGGGGGCCCCCCTCCCCACAGTGAAGTCTGCAGACCTGCAGCGGTCACGTGCACGGTGGCGATCCCCGATTCAAAGAAAAGTACGGTTGCCTGGAAAGTTAGGGCGGAGCAAGGGCGACTCCAGTGCTGCTGGGCCTTGTCCTCCAGGGTGTTGTCTGAGGCACAGAGGATCGGAACAAGAGCCTGGTTTGGGGTTGATGCCTTTTTGGTGTCAGAAACCTCCACTCCCGGCTGCTGTACCTCTCTCCCTTTCCCCGGCCTCCCCGGGGCATTTAGCAAAGATCTTTTTAAAGATGAGTTCATCAATTGTATTTTGAACACTAAACATCACCCTTGGAAGTAACTAGAGTTGCTCCGGCCGGAAAGCACTGAGGTGAGCCGAGCCTGCAGAGGAGGGGAAGTAGGGTGGGAGGTGGCCCCAGCAGCTCAGCCAGACACAGCACCGTCAGACCGGAAGTCCGCGGAGGACCCCCCCCAGCTAAGTGTGTGCTGCCGCTGCCACTGAGCTTTAAGAGAAATTTTTTTGTGATTAATTTGCACATACTTTGTTTTCAAAATGGAAAATTATGTGTGAAAGTGATCTAGGAAAAAACTCAAACAGTAGAGGCATATTTTAAAGCAGTAGTGGGGCACCGCACATGACCAGTGCCTCCCCCGTCAAAGCACCTGGTCACAGGTGGCCCTGAAGCCCCTGGCCTTGCGGGCAGAAGCCCTGCCTGCTGGGTCATCATCCATCAGCCAGTCACCACCCACCTCTCAGCTTGCAGGATGTAGTGCGGGGCACATAGGAAGGGGTGGCCCCCAGCGGGCCCTAGGGGCAGCCCAGGGACCCCTCCCAGCCCCAGCCCTCAGGGCCTTGACTCAGTAAGGAAATGTCGTGGTCACTGCGTGCCACACAGCACATCCAGAGTTAGAAGCGATCAACTGAGTTTAACAACAATGCCATATGGATTGGCTCTGCCCGCAGACTGCTCAAACACATTTCTTCTCATTTCTCAGTGTCCCTGCCTAAGGTCGGGTCTTACTCACTTGCGTGGAGCACTGAACGGTGCCTGCTTCCCCTGTTTCCAGTCACCCATCCCTGCCTCAGTGGCGCCTGGCTTGTCTCCTGGCCTTCTGTCTTGTCCCCTCTAACCTGCCTGGTTAAGCCTTACAGTCGGCGCCACCTGCCTCACAAGCACAAGGATCGGAGTTCAATACCCCAGTACAAAAAAAAAAAAAAAAAAAAAAA